ATATTTAGTTTTATAAAGTAGAAATCTGATATTTATAAGAAGTAATGTATAACACTGAAAAAAAAGTAAGAATTACAATATTTAATTTACTATGTATGAGTGGTAACCTCAGTTTTAAAGAACTTTATGTGGTATTATTTTCTTAAATTATCTTCAAAATGCAATATTTTTTTATTCCCTAGGCTTTTTTTGATAGATTTTGAGGATGTTTGTGTTTTTTGCAGAAGTACTGCTAAGTTCGATCCTGCTACACTTGAGCATTATAAGAATAGCAGTGAAATTCATTACCATCTTCAACAACAAGGGTTGAGGTCATCAGAACAACAGCCCCCTCAGAGACACCACACTACAGCAGCAGCACCACCACATCTGGCTAGTCTTCCACCTGAACTCAGACAGGATAGGGGTTTTTCTAGATATTATGAGATTAATGGAAAACAAACAAAAAGTGTATCAACAAGTGGAAGTTCCCAGGTTCCATCACAGACAATGAAAAAACCATCCCCTCCACCCTACGATCATCCTCACTACCAAACTCTACAGCCACAGATCTATGGAACCACAAAACAAAAGACTGTGCAAAATGTCAGTTATTTAGATAGGCAACTTTTACACAATTCTAGTCTGGGGAAAGGGCCTTTACTGGTGAATTCAGTTTACTCTTTGAGTTCTTGTCAAGACACAAGAGCTGGTGACTCAAACGTTTGAATGTGTATTTCTTCAACGTACAAAATCGTATGAACTGGTAATCAAGATTTTGTATTTCTCTATGCACAAAAAATAAACATTGTCTTAAGCTGATCACTCTTTCAGGCTTAAAGCCATAAATAAAAGAAATACAGCCATATTAATAACAAAAGCCTCAGGAGTTGAAAGGTGATGACTCAAACAATCATGGCTGATGCACAACTTTCAAAGCTGTTATTTTGTAGTCACTGTTAAAACAGTGATATGACAGAAACAAATCTTATCATCCCTATTATTCTATATAAAATTGATGTATTGATACATATGAAATTAATTTGAACAAACATTTTACAATGTTTGTTAGGTGATTATTTCAAACATCCATAAATTCAATGTTGTATAATATTGGGACAAACACAAGATTCCACTGATCTGAAGGATAGATTGTAGAATTAATACAATATTTATCCATAGATGTTTGTTAAGTATGACAAATCTTAGAATCCATTGATCTGAATGTTATTACAGTGTCAATATAGGATTTGTTAATAGAAGTTAATGTTTATTGTAACCTACGTGACATTCTGATGATCTGACTCATAGCTTCTAATGTTAACTCATGATTTGTATATAAAGGTTATTTAATGTGGACTAGCTTAAGAATCTGCTAGCTATACTGTCACCTTGTATGTATCTTGTTAGCTTAATTTTGCATAATGCTGTCTTGTGTCTTTACACAACCATGTTAAGCAACTCTTTGACCATCCTCAAGTTAAATCCCTTTTATTCAACCAAGAAGTTCTCCTTAGAATACAAGTATATTTCAAAATTATCATTCCAAAGTTTTTTTATAAACCCAACTGTGACTCATGCCTTGGTATTAGTCATAGGTCAAATTTGTTCTTTCCTGATAGGTTATTAACAAATTACACTGTACCTTTTCTTTGCTAAAGTTTATTAGTATTCCCTCATGGTTTCTATTTATTTGTGTGTGTGTGTATATATATATATTTTTTTTTCTTTTTTTTTGCAGCTTTTGAATGATGGTTGTAAGTTGATAGTATTTTACCCATAATTTTTTCATATAAAAGAAACTGAATTATATTATCCCAGGGGTTTTATGTTAATTTTTAGTTCTTAACAGCTATATAAGCTGTAAAATAATTAAAAATGTAAACTGAAAAAAAAATTTAAGGAAATATCCTGTGCATTGACTGGAAAAAAAAGTCCTGAAAGTATCCTGAGAAGTAGTTGTAAGAAAATATCCTGTAAAGTGTTTGGAAGAAAGTATCCTGTGAAGTAGTTGGAAGAAAGTATCCTGTGAAGTATCTGGAATAAAGTATCCTGTTAAGTAGTTGGAAGAAAAGATCCTGTGAAGTAGTTGGAAGAAAAGATCCTGTGAAGTAGTTGGAAGGAAAGATCCTGTAAAGTAGTTGGAAGAAAAGATCCTGTAAAGTATCTGGAATAAAGTTTCATGTGAAGTATTTGGAGGAAAAGATTCTATAAATTAACTTGAAGAGAGTAGTATATCGAATGCTCTATTCTTGTAATTTAAGTATAACTCATGGTAACTAGCTTATTTTATTATTTATAAATTGCTGTTGTTCCTTTAGAATATTTCTTACACACATTGGTTAAGAAAATAAAAGGTTACGATTAATATTTTCATTTGAATAACTAATCTGACAGAGGATACCATTAAATTTTACTTTGAGGGTAAAACATCTGATTTTTTTCTCATGTTATTTTGAATGGTTTAATAGTTTCTTTAAAAAATCAGTTTTTGTACTATAAACTATTGGCAACATGTTTCAAATTTGTATTTTTATTGATACAAATATTATAAACGATTTGTACATGGTTACATTAATATCATTTTTTATGTTATTTTTATTTGTACACTCTACTGCTAACATGAAAGATAAACAACTTTATCCAATTTCTTCAGAAGCATGCCAAAAAAAATTAAGTATCGTTAAAATTTACACATCACTAGGGAGATAATAAACAGGAAAATGTTTTCATGTTTATTACTGATATTGTTCTCCTAGTGAGTACTATATAATCTCAATACAAAGATTATAATTTCTTTTGCCAAAAGCAATTTTTGGCTGTAATTGAAAGTAAAGAAAATAAATTTGCCATTTTTGTTCTTTGTATCATGTTTCAAGACTTTATGTTAAAATTATTGGTGTTTTTAGAAGAAGAAAAATGAAAATTTGAAAAATTTCATAGATGACGACAGCTTCACTGTAACACTGTTTTTAATATTATTAATTGCCATATTGTGATTCAAAGTATTGCATTAAATGATTGATTAAGTAATATATTAAAAACTGTATTCTTTGAAGGGGTCTTGGAAAACATTTGGGGTTATATATGATATAAAGACATGCTTCAATACTGTGTAATCTCCCTAATAGATTACTATTATTATTTCACAGTGCATCCTGGATAGGTGAAAACCCTTCGTGTTTATAGTATAAATTAAATAGCTCGTTACTGTCACAAATAAAGTATGTAAATTTAGTGTGGATAATAGAATTGTTCTAAAAACATTATGTTCTAAGACCTTGTCAAATATTTCAAATTAAAGTTGTGGCTTGAAGTGCTATGCTTTCTTAATAAGTTGCTTAACCTTTTTTTTTTTTTTTTTTTCCAATACATTTTCGTATATAGCACTTTTTTCAGGATGAATCAATTTATTAAAACAGAAATGCATATTTAAACAGTGCCCTATAACTGCTGGAATGTATGCACATCAGTATTACATGTTAATAATAAACTGGAGGAACAGTTACAGTTTATAATACGACATAATTTTTCATTGTTTTATATTTTTCCATTTGTGACAATTTGTGAGTATTATGCATGTGTGTGTGTAACAACATTGTTTATGTTGTAATATGTGCATCAGTATTATATATATATTGGATTCGTGTTTGGTTTTTACCTCTCAAGTGCCTTTGCTTTTGCTCAACTTCAGTGATAAAATGAGATTACTTTAAAATATTGCAATATATTAATTTTAGGTCGTACATTTTTTCCAACATTTGTTAAACAGTAAAAATAAATAATAAATTTCTGTAATTTCATTGGTTTTCACCATTCAGAGAGGTGGTTGTGAAAATAATTTCATCAACAAACAAACAAAAATAAAAAAATGAATTCTAGACTTGAAGGGAATAATTAATTACAAAAGTGCTCTCATCTGGGTTTACTTGTAAGGTGTCTTACTATTTTGTAAAACAAGCACAAAATTTGGAATCTCACAGATAAGGGGATGTATATAAACCTAATCATGCCATTGTTTTATTGCCATAATGATATGTTTTTGTTGCTTGTAGCCTTTTCTGATACCTTATTTAGAAGACCTGTTGCTTACAAAAAGGTTATTCAGTTACAGTTAATGTCGTCTTGAAACAGAACATGTTGATTTATAAGGGAAGCGGACCAACTCACTCAACAAGTTTGTTTTTGATTAATCAGAAATGGATTGATGACTTCATGAAATAAAAAGGCTTAACATTTTTGCTTATAACATTCACATCTATAACTGTGATTCACTAAAAAAGTAGTTATTTTGCCTTGCCCGTGAACTGCAAAATGCACAGTAGGACGAACTAAGTCACGTGTTGAAGATTAGTTATCATGTCCTAGTGCATATACCAGTGGCACAGCGGTATGACTGCGGAGTTGCAACGCTAGAAACCGAGTTTCGATACCCGTGGTGGGCAGATCACAGATAGCTCATTGTGTAGTTTTGTGCTTAATTACAAACAAACATATCATACGATATTTCCAAAGTAGGCAGTGAGAATTCGCAGTGTATAAAACTTGGGGTAAGCAAAAATTTCTATGTATTTGACGTGTGTTTATAAACTTAGCTATTTTACGACCACTGTAACGTTTGTGTGTGTGTGTGTGACAGTCATTGGATGTGACGCGAAATGGGTCTCAAACACTCGCGAATTACGTGGTTTGATATGCAGATTATTTTATAGTTTTCTAACCACCAAGAAAGTGTAAATAATTTGTATGTATCAGTTTTCTATGATATTTTTTTATCATTATATATTTTTACGATTTATTTTACTATTATTGTATCACATGTTTGTATAGTTATGCGTTATTTCCAGTATTGTTTCCAGTTGTAAATTTTCATGAATTACAGAAGTGGTTAATAAAATACTATATTTGTAATAATATTAATAAACACAACTTTCACTTGTGTATGTTATTGTATATTTGAATATAGATACATATTCGTTTTATTCATAAAATTCTCTAGGAATATTCAAATATATTTCTCCGTAATGCATGACAAAATTATTCTATATTTCATTTTTCAAAGACGTTTTGAATATTTATCGACGTTAGGGTGCTCGACTCGCAACTGCGGGTTCGAATCCCCATCCCACCAAATATGCTCGTCCTTTCAGCCGTGACGGTCAATCCCACTGTTCGTTGTTAAAAGAGTAGCCCAAAAGTTAGTGGTGGGTGGGGATGACTAGCTGCCTTCCCTCTAGTCTTTCGCTGTTACATTAGGGACGGCTAGCGCAAATAGCCTTTCGCATAGCTTAGCGCGAACTTCCAAACAAACCATAAGTTTATAATAAGTTATTCATTTTAGTTATTATCAAGCTCGACTTAGTGGACTGCAGTCACACACAAAACTGAATGATTTTGGAAGGCACGTACATTTTCAGGGGTAAATTACAAAATATAAGAAAAGATAAAAAGTTAATGATCACGTTAACTACATTTTTTTTAATGTATTATACTGGATATTATAAAAGGCGTTTCGGAAAATCTTTTGTGTTTCATCATCCAGCCTAACGGAAGTTCTGGTATTGACGAAAGGCCTGAGAAATGACTTGTGGAAGACGAAAGAGAGTTGAGCTGCTAAGCGAACATCTGATTTCGAATCTGCGTTGGAAAAATTGATAGAAATGTGGATAAACGTGCAGTTAATCCTCTCCCCACTAAATATTTACTATAAGAAAAATACCACCTATGCT